AAATCTTTAATAAATTAATGTCTAATAATAACAAGTTATGACTCTTTCTTGGTAACAAAATACTAACTACTCAATGAAAATCATTCTTCTAATTATATAATTTGCTTGTTATTTCTTTTACTTGATTGAAAATAAAAGAGATTAACAAAAACATAATTGAGATCACGTTAGTTTTTAAGAAAATGAGAAAGAGAAGAGTCTTCAAAGCCTTAAAAAGTGGCTGTAGAAAAGGGTAAGTAAAAAACAGTTTTTTTTTTAAATAGGCTTTTAAGGCTTTAGAGATTTCTAAAGCCTAAAAAAACTGATTGGTAAATTTTTGGCTTTCATGGCTTTACATAACCACAAAGCCTCCACAGCCCCATTACCAATCTGACCCATAAACTAACAAATCTATTCCAAAGTCAAACTTACTTGCCGAATATCCAATCTAGATAAACAGAAATCTGATAAAAAAATATTGAATGATGGTTTAAATATCTGAATAATCGCTACTACAAAGAAAATAAGGGGTTTGAACTTTAAAATATAATATCTTAGATCATATAAATTAATTTGATTTTAATGAATTTTTAGATGATGTGGCTTAATCACAAAAGTTAGTAAATTTTTTTGACCCAACAACACTATATAATTATGTAGTATAATTTTAAATACAACACTATAGAATCTATCTAAAACTTGAAATGGTTTTTATATTTCTATTAAAAAAATATACTAAAACATTTTAAAATCTTAACAGATCTCTTAAAATATTATTTTGCTAACAATACACTTCAATAATACAGAATTTTAAATAAACATACTTCAATAACCAAGAGTTTACTATTTTAATATAAAACACTTCAAGTTTTGAATTGAATACATCCTTTTAGTTTAGAGTATTTAACCAAAAAAATTGAAAGGGAAGAGATTCCCAATTTTCCTTTTATTCATCTTTCTCCCAATTGCATAAGCTTAATCAATAAGCATATTTATAGTTTTTTTCCTTTAAATTAAAAAAAAAAAATTAGAATCCATAGAAATTAGATTCTAATACTCAAAGAATGTTTCAAGTCCCCTACATGTAGAACATGCTGACCCAAACCAATCTTCCTCTTCCCAACTTCATCAACAACGCTAAGATCTCTACACACATCAACCTTAAACCTAACCACCGCTTCTTCCATCTTCCCCAAACTAATCTTCTCAAACCCCAAAAGATGCTTCCTCGGCGAGCCATGAACCTCCGGCGGCGTCGTGAACAAAAACACCGTGTGAAGCCCTTCTCTACCTCCACCGTTCTTTACCTTAACATGAACCTCAAACGCCATTCCGACAGCGTTCTTCTCGCAGTGTGGTCCGAACGCGTCTAGCGATTGGCATTCAGATGAACGGCAAACGTGATTCTCTTCAAGACGTAGAGGGACGACACGTGGAGGAGCTTTGACTAAGCTGTGGCTGAACTTGGTGTAGCTGAGTCCATCTCCGAAGGCGTAAACCGTTTCTCCTGTGTAGAACCGGTAGGTCCGACCCGGATACCCGTTTGATGCATCGGGTCTCATGTTCATGTTCGTCATAGGAACTTTTTCCACGTAGGATTGTGGATACCACGTCATCGGTAATCTTCCACCTATTAAAAAATAAATTAACCGGTTATCTCCGGTTTAAGTTAACGAACTTTTAAAAACTCAAACAGAATTTCACCGGTTATCACCGGTTTAACCTAACGAACTTTTAAATACAAAAAAAACAGAGTCTTACTTGGATTATAACGGCCAAAGATGACGTCAGCGATAGCTATGCCGCCAGCTTCTCCTGGATAACCAACCCATAAGATTCCGGCGATCTTCGGATCGTTCTTAGCGAAGGTAATGTCGAAACCTCCACCAGACATGATAACTAGCAAGACCGGTCCTTTAGCTGCTTTAGCCACTTGGGTCACAAGGTCTTGTTGTTGTCCGGGAAGGTTCAGATCGACTCTATCTCGGCTCTCTGCCTCTATAGACAGATCAGCACCTATAACGAGCACCGTCGCGTCAGCCTCTGCCGCTAGCTTCGTGGCGGAATCTACATCCGCCACGGCGCAAGCTACATTGGAGCAGCCTGGTAGATATGTTGTTGATACCGTCGCCGCTAATCCCTGGAGAGGGGTTGTGTATTTACACGGCGTGCCTTCGTAGTTTCCGATCATTGTTTTAGTGACATTCGCGTTCGGTCCAATCACGGCTAGTGTTTTGATCATTGTAGGAGAAAGAGGTAAGGAACCAGTGTTTTTTAGTAGGACAATGCCTTGTCTAGCTGCTTCTGCGGCTAGCTCTTGATTTGAAAGTGTGCAAACGTCTTTTGGACCGAGCCCGCCGTAGATTTGCTTCTTCGGATCTCCATCGAAGAATCCTAACCGCATAAGGGTCAAGAAGTTGTTTGAAATTGCTTTGTCGATAGCTGTCACGTTGACCAAACCCGCCTTAACCGCGGCCTCTGTATGCTGGCTCAAGAAGGAACCACAGTTCAAATCTAATCCTGCGTTGATAGATATAGCTGCAGCTTCCTCTGGAGTCTTGGTATAGTGTTGGTTCTTGTACAACACATCTACTGAATCACAATCCGAAACAATGTACCTATTTAAAAAGAAAAACTCGAAATCAGAATCCAAACATTTTCAAATTTTACTTCAAAACAGGTCTAAGCCTATTTGATCGGATCAGGTAATTACCCGTTTAACTTCCATTCACCGCGGATAACACCGGATAGGAGATCCGGGTCAGCGCAAGTTGGTTTACCGTTGACTTTATTGTAAGAACACATAACACTCGCCACATTCCCATCAACCACACAACTCTTGAACGGTGGTTGATACGTATCATCCATATCTTGTTGGTTCACCTACTCCAACAAAAACACAAAAAACAGTTAGTACACGCACTAAAAATGTCTTAGACCAACCAATATCAAACCACTGCATTTTAATAAAATAGAACATGAACCAAAATTAAATTACCAAAAAGCTAGTACCAAAGCGATCATAACTATCAAATTTAGCTACAAGTGACCTAGTCCGAATTAAGTACAATTGAACAACCACACCGAAAACAACACTGAAATAAATTTGGTTACAAAACTTGATATCAATCATCCAAATACCATAATAACTGAACTATAAAAGCATCCTAATTTTCAACCAAAATCAAACACACAATAAATGTGACAAAACAACTAGCACACGACACTGAAAATGTAACGTCATTAGATTAATAGGTTTGAGTCTTTACCACAGCGTTGAAAGTGTAACGTTCTACGCCTTTCCAATTATCAACGTCGTAAGCGGTGTAGTGTTTGCAGCACGCAGCGACTTTGAGGCGGTTAGCATCGCTGCTTTCAGTCTCTTGAAGACCCTTAACGTATCCTGAAGCATACTTGCTAGAAAGCAATGGATCTTCTCCAGGAGTCTCTTGTCCTCTTCCCCATCTCGGATCTCGGAATATATTAACATTCGGTGACCAATAAGTTAGTCCTGCTAATCCAACATTGTACATTGCCCTCGCTTCCGTTGAGACAACCTTAACAAATGAGTAATAAACAATGTCATCCAAAAAAGTATGGAAGGAACTATTGAAAAGGGTTTACTTGTATCTGACGAAAGTGAGAAAAAACGAGAGTCCCAGTTGCATTAAAAAATAAGATATTTACATTATCCAAAAATATTAACAAAAGAAAAAGATGAACAAAATAAAGAAACAAAAAATATACTATAGGATAACACCAAAATAGTATTTTATTCTAAAAATAGTAAAATAGTACGCATAAAAAAATTCCAATATAATATATATTTTTTAAAACATGTTTTATTAAATTTATATTTAAAATTATATATTAGGTTTACAGTTTTTTAAGGGTCGAGTTAGAGAGTAAATATTTAAAAATTTGGATTAATTTAGTTAATTTACATTTAATTAATGTTATTTGTTACTAAAGGATTTGTCCAAAAAATGGTTAAAAATGCGAAAAAAAATTATTTACCTTGCCAATGGCTTGAAACAGAGATACGTTGAAAGAAGCGGCGGTGAGTATGACCTGAGGGAAGCTAGTGGCACCGGGAACTTGGCCGGCGAAATGCGTGCCGGGTCCGATGTAAGAAACGCCGTGAAGTGCTTCCGACCACCATTCATACGTTGGAATCCCAAGCCGTGTCACGCCGTTAGCTTTATTCACCAAGAACCCAATCTTTTCTTGCAACGTGAGCCTCCCGACAAGATCAGCGACTCTGGCGTCAATCTTCAAAGCGGTGTTGCAGAATCCATAGGCGGCGAGAGATGAGTTTCCGGAGGTATCGCAGGCAAAAACTGGCGTGGGTTGAGCGTTTGATGAAGATGAGAAACAGAGGAAAACAAGAAACATAGATAAAACAGAGGACACTGCTCTGTTTCTCCTTGTTAGGGGAGAAGAAGAGCCCATTGTGTTGCGTTTTCGATTTTTTTTTGTGATATATTTTGTGTTTGGGTTAGTGATACTATTTATAAAACTAGCAAGCTAGTACGCTCTCACTGAAGAATCTGTTTTCTTTATAAATAATCGAGGGTTGTATTGTATTATTACTCTTTTTATCCCTTAAAATGAATATTATATAATTTATATCTATTCTATTAATTTAAGATCCTGTTTTATTTATTATTGAGAAATCATAATACAATTTTTAATTAAGTTCTTAACATCACAAATTTGATTATTTACATAATCAATTAAATATATAACAGAAAATCTTAATAATCAATAATAATATTAATAATAAATCAAAATTATCTTAAATTTGAATTTATTTTTAGTTATAATAAAATCTGTTGAAAAAGTCTAACAAAAATCTAATTATTTAGTTTTAATAAAAATAATTCATTAATTAATTTTGAAATTATAAATATTAAATTAAGAATTAATGTTAAATAAAATTATATTATAAAATAAAATTATGTCCTATTTTTTATAAATCTTATTGTCTTTATAGGAGTATTACATAGAAGTGCTATATGAATTATATATGACAAAATTATATTAAATTGGTAACCTATTTTAATTTTTATCAAATTAAAATTCGTAAATTATGCAATATTTTATACAAAAAGTTATTAATATACGTAAAAACATTTATATCGATAACTATATATTATATTTTATTTATTTTGAAATCACACCATTATATAATCTAAAAATGATTATATAAAAATATTTAATTAACTTATTTTATGTATTATTTTAAAATATGATATTAAAACATTTTATTTTAAATAATTCAATAAATATATTAATGGAAATTTAATTGTAATTATATTAAAATATGTTAAGAAAAAATATAAAAAATCTTACCAATAATTCAAATATTTTTATAAATAATAAATTTATTTAGTAAAAAGGATTTAATAGTCATATAATCTTCCAAAGTTAAAAAACAAAACTCAAAATGATAATATTTCAAATTTACAAAAGATAAAATCATAAATGTTTAAGTACAATGTTATGATATTCAACACGAAATTTTTTTGTTGTAAAAATCAAAGTAATATAATATTTTGAATTCTTAAAATCAAAAAAATTAATACCATAACATCCAAAAATATTCTATATACATAAAATTTAGTAAAAAACATGACTATATTATTTAAACAGAACACTGTATTTATTTATAAAATATTTTAAAATACTAAATGAAAGATGTTAAAGTATATTTTCTGAACACAACATAAAATATAAATTATCGTCAACAAGTATATTTTCTGTAGTATAACTAAATATTTTTTAAATGTACTATATCTAAACTGTAGAAATAAAAAAATAAAATTTATTTTGAAAGAGATTTTTATTTGTTATTTTATATTATGAGTTCCTTGTACATAAATCAAAATTTTTATAGTAATATAAAAATTACTGAAAATTAAAACTTATAAAATAAATCACTATATATTACTAACTTAGCCAAAATAATAAGATTATAAAATTACAAAATATATAACAATAAAATGTAAATCACATATTTAAAATATATATGATAATATTAAAATTTATATATTTATATAGTGAAAATATCCATACTCTGTGGATCAAACTAAAGTTTCACCTATTATATTTGATTTTTGAGATTATGTTAAAAAAGTTTATACGGCTCTCGAGGAAGGAAATAATGATACGGATCGGACCATACAGTCTATAATGTAGTTTTACACATCTGTTTTTACATCTTTGTTACTAAATTTTCTCTTTATTTTTTTTATAAGATGTTTTGGTATAGTACACGTAGTTTAAGAAATTAATATTCTTTTAAAAAATAATTTTAAAGATATAATTTTATAATCATTTAATCAATTATTAAAAAAATTATAAAATTTTATTAGAGGGAATATTTAATAGTTTTAGTTAAAAATTACAGACACCAAAAGAAGAAAAGGTAAAGCAGGCGAGTGGGATTTAGCTTTTAACTTTTTCATACATAAGTGCACATAATATTTAACGTATTTGTCCAAAAAAAAGAATATTTAACGTATAACTTTTTTGGACAAAGAAGAATATTTAACGTATAACATTATATTTCTCTCTCTTTTGTCTCACGTCTCAACATATAAATTTAAATTTTTAGGTAAAGCTTATTTGTACGTACATATTCTTTTGAGTATACAATGTTTCAGGCGACCTCATATCAATTTCTGATGCTTTTCCAAAACTACGAAAGATTTGGTTTTTAAGTCAGTGTATTCGTACAAAAGCATAATGGATTCTTATAAGGAATGGGACAATGTAATAATATTAGACTAGTGAATGAGTTGTGTTTGTTTTATATTGCTACATATTTTGAACGCACATCCTATGACTTTATAACCTATTTCATTTTAAAAATTCTTCACATAGTGCCATATATTCACCCTAATTGTGCAGAAGCACATTTTTAATTTAAATTGAAATGCCTAAAATCTACCATTAGTCAACTATATAATTTAAAAAAAAATAATTAGTGGTATTTTCGGCGAGGAAATTATTTCTGAAAGGAGAAAATCTACCATCTATGATTCCTTGACGGTGTCGTATGATTTATCAAATGGTAGATTTTGTCGAGCTTCAAAGTGCAACTTGCCTTGTTTGTCTCGAGTCCGTGAATCTTAATGGTTTCCACAGTTGCGTGAAAGGCTGCCACTTTAAGGTTCTCTCATGCGCGTGACTCACTAATATTACTTCCCTATTCATTTGCATCAAAATTTAATTAGAAAGCCGTTTATATGTTTTCGTTAATCATGACAGGAAAAACTCTTTTAATAGTTGTTTTGATTCGTAACATATGATGAAAGGCAAACGTTTGTAAATTTTAAGATAAAAGAAAATAAAAATAGGCACCTCTTGGATTTAATTATGAATATGATTATATGAGTATGGAGTAGTGATGGTATCGTCATTTGGGTGTAAGAATAGATCGACAGTTACAAAAAAAAAAAGAATATATAGATGGAGTTTTCTGTAAACGCGTTTCTTGTCATTGACAACACTCAACAGAAGATTGTAATTAACTCCGGAGGTTGGTTTGATTTTATATTTGAAATATATGTTGATTTTAAAATATGGTTAGGTAAACCGAATAATATTAAACTGAAGAAGCAACATATATGTTGAATTTGAATCAACACTATGCTCAACGAAGCAATATCTATTAAAAATCGCTCCACTCCCCAACAAGAAAAAGAGGCAAAATTTCAAAAGATATAGAAGATTTTATTTTATTTTAGTAAGATATCTATCAACTATATAGGCTACTGAACCACATCAACATCCAATGCATGTGTGTTTGGAACAAAATGTTGCAAGTTGCAAAGTTATACTGTCACATGTACGAACAAATAGTTAATGACTTGGAATAGAGATTTACATAAATATATGTATAAACTCACGGGTGCTATACATACATAACAAGTGATTATATAAAAATAGAAGTAAAGACAAAGAAAATGGTTCTAAAAAAGTAAAGACGAAGAAATTATTAGATTAATGTTAACTTTGCATTGCATAGGACACATGCTTCACTTACAAGTAACCAAAAGATCTACACTTTTAATTAGATCAAATTTATAAAGATGATGATTGCTAAGTGCCTGCAGCTATAAATATTGTATACCGGAAAACATGAGGTATGAGCTCAATTATTATTAGTGTACTTCTCTTTTTCGATGAAGCTTTATGTTAATCGATTGATTAGCATACAATAGTTACAAATATTATGTTAATTTTATACTACTACTTTAATGTTAGTTGCTAATTATTTGCTACACTAAAGTGGTCTGATTGTGGAGTTCAATCACCATTATCAAAATCAAGACGAATTTGGCTTTATTTAATAATGGAAGTTAGGTTTGCGGCTATGTGTAAGAAAAAATTAACGTTGCATGGCTATGTGTAAGCAAATCGTGGGGGAAATAAATAAAACTAGGTTACTTACGTCTCAGTTACGTTACGACAATGTCCAGATCACATATATCCAAATGTTTCTGATTATTTTTCCATGTAATGTTTTTAAAATGTCTTAACCTGTTGGAAACATCTTTCGTTTTGTATTTATATTGTTCGTAAAGAAACAATTGGATATAATGTCTTCAAGAAGATCTTTGACTATTAATTACATAAGCTTTTTGAACTACTCTTTGAATAGCATACATAAGGTAGATGATGTTGTTGTACACGGCATGTGAGTTTTAGACATTATTAATTATTATAGCCAGAGCAGGTGAGTGAGAATCGATGAAGACATATCTACGTCCAATAATTGTATATTGGCCACATTTCAAGACGAACAAATATTCCTAATACTGTAAGATAGGCAATATGGAGGTTCATAATCATAATTGGATAAATTAACTTGATAATAAATAGTTAATCATAACATAAATATATACCAAATTTGACAATATTTAAAGCTATGTTAGGTTTAGTGTGTATATATAGATTAATCTCTGATTAATCACCGCTTTTTTTTTGGTAACTCGCTAAGCTCGAGCTAAAGCAATTTGGTTCATTGGCTTATTATATGAAGCCGAAAGAATCATACTCACTCAAGACATTTATATGTTAATTTCAAATAGTGCAATGAATAAAATAATCATAGCCATAACGGGAAAATCGCATAAAAAACCTTCAAGGTGGCAATCACTTACACTTTAAACCCTAAGAGTATTTTACAATCACTTTAAACACTCAAGTTGGCAAATTTAGCATATTAAACCTCCAATCTGGCTTACTTGTACATCAAGTTAAAAATGTGACCGGTACTGTTCAAAAGCGATGACGTGTCGGTTTTTTTTTTTTTTTAAAAAAAATTACGAAAAAATAAATATAAAAATACAGAAAATATAAAAATTCATTAAAAATTCTTTAAAAAATTGAAAAAAATCAGAAAAATTCAAAAAAAATCAGAAAATCATAAACATTAAAAA